CCCTGGCACCTGCAGCTTCCCTTACCCATGGACCCGCCTGGTGTCTCCCCCTTCCCTCACTGCCCCTGCCCCCTTTTTCCCTGATGCCCACCCCCTCACCACTCTCTGCCCCATTCCCCTCCTGCCCCTCTGTGCCCTCACACATGACTTGCTCCATCCTCACCTTTCTCATGCCCACCCCTTCTTTTAAGCCTTCTCCCCTCCCTCTCTAGCCTCCAATGCCCTTCCCCTCTCCTCTCCTCCCCCAGCATCACCCTGTCCCCCTTCCCACTGACACCTCCCCTCCTGCCCTTTTCCTCATTGTCTCCACTCTCCCCCTCCCCGCGTTAGTCTCTTCTGCACCCCTGCCCCTTGGTGCCTTCCCCTTTCTTCTCCTGACCTGCCCCGCACATCAGCACAATCCCCTTCCCCTGCCATCCCTCCCCATCACCTCACCTACCTTCTGCCTTTCCGTTTCCAGGGTTGGAGTATGCGATCAGGCTGCAGAAGTCCCCCATGCCAAAATGGCACCACAATGCCAAGCCGCGCAAGACCCCGCCCCCAGCACAGCCCCAGCTCCTTCCAACACTGCCGCCCGGGCTGACAGCTTCCCTTCCCCAGCCAGGCTCAGCTTGCTGGCCTCCTCGCCGGAGTCCCTCGGCCCGGTGGGGCCTTCTGGCGGGGCTGTAAGTGCTGGCAGTGCTCCTACTGGCTCTGGTGCAGAGCGCATGCCTATGCTTCCCCTCTGTCCCGGGCCAGCAGAGTGGTGCCCTAGAAAGTGTGGTGCCCTACGTGACTACATACTCCGTGTATGCCTAAGGACAGCCCTGAGGAGCAGGGCCTCAAAGAAGGGGCAGGAAGGAAGTGGGCCCAGGCTATTTGTATTTGAGGTAGCTCTCACATTGCAATTAAATTGAAAAAGTGATCTTGTGGTTAAAAATGTTCAAGACCATTGTCCTACACCTTACCCACTTGGTTCCCACAAGAACTCAGTTTCACTCTGAATGTATCACTGACATTGCTTTATTGGCAGGCCATGCCTGATTTGATCAGGTTCAAGTCCATAGGGAGTGGACAGATGTAGGATAGACCACACATCCCCTGTGCAAAATCATAAATCAGCTGAAATACACACTGACACTAAATACTGCTGGTTAACAGATCAAACCACACACTAATGTTTGTAGCCAGATCCTGTCTAGCAGGGCTGGATTACCCAATAGGCAGACTAAGCCCGTGCTTAGATTTTATGGTATTGTATTGTTTTTATTTTGAATTACATATGGGGAGAGGGCACCATAATCTTTTTAGTGCTTAGGGCCTGTAAAGGTGTTAATCCAACCCTGCTGTCTAGACCACAATCTTTTCCCATGATGGAGGTAATCACATGTTTCTTACTAGCCTACTAAAACTTTTCTACAAGTGCATCTTTTACGTATTTACAAAGTTACAGTCAATTCATGCTTTGTTCCTGTCCTTGCTGAGAGCAGTCCAACATGGACTACGATTCAGTGTGTGGCAATTTTGGTTACTGTAATGTTCTAGTAATTAAAGGTAAAATATTGTATGTACTTATGTAAACATAAAACACTCTATCCAGGTGCATTTGCCATAAAGTGAAAACACAACTAAACTCATCCAAACACAAATAAGCCCAGACGCCTCCCCAAATTGAGGCAGGGTTGGAAAGAATATTCTACAAAGATCTGTGTGCCCGCTGTTCCACCATTCACCCAGTTGGTGTCTGTGGGAACTGTGCCTTATCCCAGAGAGGATGTGGGGTGGGGAAAGCAAATGGGGTACTTGGAGCCAAGCTGTGTGGAAATCTGTCTCTGCAGTTGGACCAGTTTTCTTTCCTAAATGTCTTCACATTAGGAGAAAATGAGACTCCATTTAGCATTATCCCAACCTTGAGGCACAAATCCTAGCTCTTAGTCAGCCTCACCTCCTCAGAAGCCTGAGAAATGACATGGCTTTGTGAGATTAACAGGTCTGAGACAGATGAGGCTAAGGGAGAGAGGGGATTCCACTGGAGAACACCTGCTGGCAATTCCCTCACTTGAACTCATGTCTCTATGGCCTTGTCTCCACTATGCCAGGGATCAATAAAGGAGTGATCAATTCACTAGGCTGCTGATTTCTTGCATCTCCTGAAAAGACGATAAATCAATCTCTGAGGGTATGTCATTTCACGAGGAGTAACGGTAGTTCGAACTAGGAAGCCTAGTTCGAACTACCTAGTTTGTGCCCCGTGAAGCCGCGCTGCACGGGGTTCGAACCAGCGGGGTTTTAAAAATGGCGGCTCCCCGCTTATGCAAATGAAGCCCGGGAAATTCAAATCCCGGGCTTCATTTGCGAGTGCGGTATGCCTACATTACCCCGCTAGTTTGAACTAGCGGGGTAGTGTAGACATACCCTGAGTGTGCGCCCATGAACGAGGACAACTGAAGTAGCTTGATAGTGGGCTGAGGGGAGGATAGACAAGGCCTATGACTATGAAGAGTCCAGTTGATTCAGGGCAGCCTCTGTCACTGCTGGCTCTGACCCTGTGGTTTGGGTCACTGACTGTGTCTACATCTCCGCTACCAATTTCTGTTGACAAAACTTACAGCACTTGGTGCAGTGTGGTGGGACAGCAGAGCTGATCTCCGCACATCTTGGGATTCCCTCTGAGTTCTCCCATGGACTCCTCATTTCATGGCAGCAGCCTCAGGAATAGCCCTGAGCTCTCCCAGCTGAGGAATGTCAAAGCAGCACAGCCGCATGTGCCCTTCCCCGTGCAGCAGCAGTCTGCCAGCCGCTGTGTTTCTAGTGCAGGGCAGAACAGGAGCAGTCCAACGAGTAGCTCACTCAGCTGTCAGGTACGTCCCAGAGCTCTGAAAGGGGAGGGGAGCTCACCCGTTGGGCAGCAGAGCTCCAGACTCTGAGCACAGCAAGCAGGGCAGGCATTGTGGGATACTGGTGGAAGACAATTGTGGCAATAAACCAGACAGCAGGATCCACTCTGGCTCTTTGTCCATGATTAAGGGAAGAGAAAACTCTCTCACAGGGTGGAAGTTGTCACTGAAATGGGCAATTTGCCTGACAATCTCACCTAGCAGGGTGTGCAGTCTCATTGGTTTGTTGGCAGTTTGTCGGTAAAACGTTGTACTATAGAGGTAGTCTTGGTGGAGTTACGTTCGCTTGCATCAGGCATGGATTTGGCCCTAGGCTCTCCAATCCTTTCCTCGTAGGAAAAGAGCTTTTTCACTTGTTTTTCTCAAAAGAACTTTTGTCTCCCTGGCCAAATTGTCCTTCCTGGGGGCTTTTCTCTTTGATCCTCAAGTGATACAAACCTAGCTACCCTGGTCTGGGAAACACAGAGACGGACACCTCCAGCAGACTTCAGCCTCTGGGGGAAATAGCTTCACTTGAGACAAGAAGAAAATGAGGTTCTTTGTGTAGGATGCTTTACCCAAAGCTGGAAACCAGCCTTCTTCTGCTACTTCTGGTTCTGCTTGCAAAGAGGCAGATCATGAGCTGCAACAAAACCCACAGAAACCCCCCAAGAGAGGATGAGAAACACTTGAGGCCAGTAGAATTTTGCTCACACCCATCAGGGAGTGAGTTTGGTTCTAGGAATCCCTGATCAGGGCTACAGAGCAGTGATGGCTCCCTCTTCCCACTCAGACTCATCCCAGTTATATATAAGGGCTCAAAATGTGGCCAGGCTAGTACAGCTGAGGGCCACTAGTAGGCACAACTGAGGTAGCCACGCAGGAGAGGAAGCAGACTCAGTAGACCACAGGACAGATAGGGTACGTCTACACAGCAGCGTTACTGCAGAGTAACTGATTGTATTTCAAAATAACAAAGAGCGTGTCTACCCAGCAAGCCATTATTTTGAAATAAATTATAGCTAGAGAACATATTACTTTGACTCCTGTAACCCTCATTTCATGAGGAGTAAGGGATGTCAAAGAAGAGCGCTCTTCCTTCAAAAGGATGAAGGAGTAGCCCAGGCCGGGCCGGTGTCCACGCCCCCCCAGGAGCCAGACCCAGCAGCTGCCAACCCCAGGGAGGCAGGAGCGCACCCGCAACCCCGACAGCAGCCCCGGCAAGTACTGACATGGAGGAAAATAGGCCACAGGTAGGGTTGCCTGGTGTCCGGTATTGTACTGGACAGTCCAGTATTTGCGATCTCTGTCCGGTAAAAAAAAAAATCAGAAAATACTGGACATGTGCCATGTCCGGTATTTTCTGATTTTTCCAGCTGCGCACTGGATGGACGCCTGGTGTGGATGGGGGGAGCATCTGGGAGTCCCAGCTGGGAGGCGGGGCCGTGATTGCCACCGGGAACCCTCAGTTGGTTGAGTGTGAGGAGGAGGGGAAGCCTCCTCCTCGCTCGTGTGTCGCCGGGAGCCTGCGCGGGACAGGCAGCAAGTGCCCAGGTCAGTCCCGCTCCCCACCGGCTGATTTGCTCACCCCCATCTTCCCGGCTGGCCGGTTCTCCCTCACTTCCCTGCCTGATCTTCCCCAACCAGCCCCCCCTGCAGCCCTCTCCAAGCTCTGCTTCCCGCCGGCCCATTCCCCTGACCAGCGCCGCTGTACCTCTCCCCTC